CTCTCTCTCTCTCTGTCTAATTCTACCTGTCAAATAAATTAGAAAAAAAAAAAAAAAAAAACCTTCCTTTAGATGCCTTCTAAGACAACACCATCCCCCTTGCTGTCATCACTCTCCATCCCCTTCATCGTATTGTATTTTCTGCAGCTCACTTCCTTACAGCATGTGTACACCCGTATTTATCTTTTTGTCAAAGCTCCAAGAGCACAGGGTCTGTCTGTTGGCTGTCGGTTCTCCAACACCTAGGACAGTTCTTGGCAAACAGCAGCGCCTCAGCATGCACTGAATAAATGAGTATGATTAGAGACAAGCCACTAGGAGAAAACAGAACAGAGTATTTACCAAATCTCTAAGTTTAGAATTCTAAATCAAAGAAGGCCATCAGCAAATTTGTTTAATAAGTGGGGCCTGCACTGTGGCATAGCAGGTAAAGCCTCTCTCTCCCTGCAGTGCCGGCATCCCATATGGGCACGAGTTCGAGTCCTAGCTGTTCCACTTCCCATCCAGCTCTCTGCTATAGCCTGGGAAAGCAGTAGAAGATGGCCCAAGTCCTCCCACATGGGAGACCTGGAAGAAGCTGCTAGCTTCAGATCGGCACAGCTCCAGCTGTTGCGGCATCTGGGGAGTGAACCAGTGGATGGAAGACCACATTCTCTGTCTCTGCTTCCCTGTAACTCTGCCTTTCAAATAAATAAATAAATCTTTTAAAAAATGTGTTTAATAAGTTAAAACATGTTTTTTAAAACAGGGAAAAGACTAAGAAAATACAGCTGCAAAAATATAGAAAGAATCACTGTCCTTATTACTAGACTTTTAGGCAAAGAAAATTGTATTAAATCCACATGAGGCACTATCTTCAAGGTGAACCTTGAAGACTATGCTTCTGGAGACTATGGAAAACACGGTTGAGGCTTTTTAAAAAGTAGGATTTTAATATGTCAGATCTATTAACTACCCTTAAAATGAAAGCAGTAGATACTCTGAGATGTTCACCAGCCCACACCTGCTCACCATGCTCTGAACATTGCCATTTCCACACTCCCCAGGGGAAGCCCAAGCAATCTTATTTGTACCACATGGCCCTGCCCCACAGCCGCTAGTGACTATATTATGAGCACAGTTACTCACACAAGTAGGCACTGGATTAAGTTCCTGACTCCAGACCCTAGCCCCATTCCAGCCACTGCAGGAATCTGGGAAATGAACCAGTGAATGGGACACGGCATTCTCACCCTCACACATGAAAAATAACTATCTGCCAACAATTCCTGAATTGCCATCTCTAGCCAGGCTTCTCCTCTAAATTCAAGCTTCTATTTCCAACTGTCCCATTTGGTTTTTACATATGTATTTCAAAACTTCAACGTCTTCAACTCCCCACGATCAGCAACTGCTAACTCATCCCTTCTGGAGCCTTTGTTTTCTTAGTGGAAATTAAGATGCACACTATCAAATCATGGTTGACTCTTCTCTCAGGCTATTAGCAAACCTGAGCACTCCAAAATGCAAAGTCAGTCCAAACACTTTACCTTCATCTTTTCTGCCACTATCCTGATACAATCCAGTACCCTCTCTCATCTCGACAATTCCAACAGTCCCTGCACTGCTCTCCTCTCCTCTTCCTTGCCCTCCTACAGTCTACACTATTCAAAACTTGACTGATCAGTTTTCATAACATGAACCAGATCTTGCTACATTCTAAACCCTTCTACACCTTCCCATCTCACATGGCCAAAATCTCCACGGAATTAGGGACTTGCTGTTTTTAGTCTTCAGTGCTTTAGATTGGTACTACTTGTAATAGGACCTGGCACGTGAGTACTTGACAAATAACTTGTTGAATCAAAGTGTTTTCATTACAAAACACTTATATTTAGTCTTTTTAACCAGTAGGGCAAGCCTTTCAGCTTTGCTTCTCCTTTAAAATTCTCATCTCTTGGGAATGCATTTGGCCCAATGTTTCAAATACCCATATCCCATGTAAGAGTACCTGGTTTCAAGTCCCAGCTCTAATCCCGATTCCAGCTTCCTGATCACATATACTGTGGGAGACAGAAGGTGATGGCTTAAGTAGTTGGGTTCCCACCACCTATCTGGGAGACCTGATCTGAATTTCCAGTCAGGCCTGGCCCAATACCAGCCACTGCAGGCATTTTGGGAGTGAACCAATAGACGGAAGATCTATCTCTCCCTCTCTCTTAGCTTTTTAAATAAATTAATGAATAAATAAATGAACAGGTAAATAAATCTTTATAAAAAATATATGTCCCATGGGAGTGCGGGTGGGAAGAATCACTATGTCCCTAAAGTTGTATTTATGAAATGCATGAAGTTTGCATTCCTTAAATAAAAGGTTTCTGGGAAAAATATTTAAAAAAAGAATTCACAAGGAAAAAAAATCTATGTCCCAACTTATTTTTATTCAGACCATGAACATTTCCTTTTCTAAATTACATTCTCTGTCTGAATAAAATCATCAAGTCCTTTTTCTAATATCTTGTTCCTCATGAATCTTTTTGCCCAACTATCTAACCTGGTTTTTTGTGCAGTAGAACCTGCATTTTCAGAAATGAGTGCTGGGCATTTAGTCACTGAATTCCACAGCATTTTCCCAGTGTTCAATTTCTTCAGTCCAAGTTGCACCTGACACTAGTAACAGCCTACCCCTTTAGTCTGCAATTTCTTTCTTCTTTTGCCTTCTAGGAACTGTTATTTCTCTCACTTCTCTAGAGTGCTTCTCCTTCTCCATGCCCAGTTTCTCTTTTTAGCTTTTATTCCAGGAAGAGCCTATGTCTCAAGGGCAAAGGGAAGGCCTTTCTGGGGAAGTTGAGTTTGAGCTAGCTTTTTTTTAAGATTTATTTTTATTTATTTGAAAGGCAGAGTTAGAGAGACAGAGATAGAGAGACAGACAACTTCCATCTCCTGGTTCACTTGCCAAATAGCCACAACTGCTGGAGCTGGGCTAATCGAAAGCCAGGAGCTTCTTCCAGGTCTCTCACATGTGTGTAAGGGCCCAAGCGCTTGGGCCATTAGCAGGACTGGAAGGGAGCTGGATTGGAAGTGCAGCAGCCAGGACTTGAACCAGCACCCATATGGAATGCTGGTACTGCAGACAGTGGCTTAACCTGCTATGGCCCCTGAGCTTAGGGTTTGCCAGATGGACAAGCAGAGAATAGACAGATTAGCATTTGCGAGGTAAGGACAGCATGGTTAACCAGGGAACCTGAGTCTAGATCTGCACTGCCCAGCACCGTGGACACTTAGTGCATGTGGTGATTCAGTACCTGAAATGTACCTGTTATGGTACAAATATAAAACACCAGATTTCGAAGACATAGAACCAAAAAGGGAATGCAAAAAATCACTGGTAATTGTCTTAACTAAATGGTTACATGTTGAAACAGTATTTTGGGTATGTTCCTTTAAGCAAAATATGCTATTAATGTTCATTTCACCTGCTTTTTGTTTTTACTTTTTAAATATGGCTACTTGAAAATGTAAAATTAGTTATGTGACTCCTGTTCTCTGGTACAAATCTAACCTGCATTTATAGGGTTGTGCCATACCACTCCCTTCATGCACCCTAGGAAGTACCAACCTGAGGATAATTTGGCTTTTTTCACTTTAGTGCCTTTTCTTATCTTCCCTCTCAAATTCATGCTTTTCTTTTCATCTTTCCTCTCAAATTCATGCTTATCAAGATCTTCCTAGGTAATAATGGCATTGTGCTTCTATTTAAAGCATATGGAGGGTGCCTTTCATCACAAATACAAATAGCAGCATTTAGTAATGGCTATTTTTTTTTATCCTACTAGAACTTCAGGGTCTACATCAAGTATCTCTTCCTTCATGAACTGATTTTTAATTACCCCAACCCTTCTAAAAACATGCAACTCTTACTAGGTGTTATGAGTTAAACATTATTCTAGCTGCTAGGTAAACCAGAGAGCAAAATATTTAGGCCTGCCCTGAGGAATTCAGTCTCATGGGAGACAGTTAGATAACTCAACAATTACCATGCAGTGTGATTTAGGCTCTTACAGAGGTGAACATATGATCTCACGGGACCACTGACAAGCCTTTGTCCCAGCTGGCAAGGAACAGGAAGCATTCTAAACAGGCCCTGGTAGAATGCTCTTCTTTTGAATACCCAATATACCTTTTGCAGCTACATTTTTGGTTATCCAGCTGTCTTTGATACTGTCACATATTTATAGCTGATTCTCACTCTTGCAGGTTACATATTTGCAAACTTGCCTATTGCTAAAATGTATCTGTAATCCTAAAATCAGTATTGGTGGAGACCTTTTGGTCACTCACAGACATGCCTGCAATGGTGAAAAATTCAAGTTACCCAACACTCACTTTCCCCGGTGAGGTAGAACTAGGCAACAGCCATCCTTTTTGTTCCAGCCTTCAGTGAAGTCTACTGTTACATTTCTGTAGTTTTGGTTGGCGATCTCACAGTTTAAAAAGCTGTCTAATATTCCTAAGCATGACATGGCAACAATGCACCTTAGAGAAAGTGCTTAGAGATCAGGCACCAGTTACTGTGCTGGTGGCAATGAGGTCACCATTAATTAAGCTACACTACATATTAAATAAGAAGTTTTTATTAAAAAAACATAAAATGGTTATATATTGATCAACTGATTCAAAAAGTTGTGACTTGAGGCTCACAGTATCTACTAATTCAGTGTTGGTGGCACTTTACAGATCACAACTACCACAAGTAACAAATCAACTGCACTTATCTTCTGCAGATGAGATCTATCAAAGTCATCCTTAGTGCTTGCTGTGGAGATGCATAACTACATATTTAAATCTTAAATCAGAGGCAAATTAATGTTTATTTTTTTCTTATGTGAAATAACCTTGGCTTCAAAAATAAATAGGTGTCACAGTTTTGTAAAGGCTGGATACTAAAAATAATTTTATACACACTGACTTTATTTTATAGCTTCAAAATGACCAACAATGACCGTCATCAACATGCTTACCATTTTTGTTCTTCAAATTAGGGTCTGCTCCACTTTTTAGAAGCTTCAAGGCACATTGCTTATGGGCCCGGTAAGCTGCACAATGCAAGGGTGTATTTCCTAACTGATCCGAACAGTTAACGTCAGGAGGATTGGGCCTATTGAGCTAACAATTAAAGAAATGAAATGCAGAATTATATTTCCAAGACAGACTTTCTCTGCTAACCCCAGGAAGGAGCTCCAGCAGCGCATGGACAACAGCCAGCTCCTTGGCACCTAGACCATCTGTCTGGCTTCTCACTCACTAAACCAGCCAACCCTCCCACCCCCATGCCTGTCCTCAGATGCCACAAGATCTCAATTCTGTATCTGGGTTCCCAAACTCTCCCATCAACAGACAACACATACTATGCCAGCACCACTCCATGAGACCCTGAAATTAAGATCTCACTACGATCTGCTTGCTCCTTCCAGTCCTGTAATTCACACTTGTGACAGCAAAACCACGAATCAGCTGAGCACAGCCAATCCTTCAGAAGAGTGAATCCCACAAATGTTCAATGTGTAAACGGCAGAGCCCTACTGAATCTGCTATTCCCACCTCACTGCCTTAGAAACTTCTTCACATAGTCTCCATTTCACAAAATTTAAAAATGTTTTTAGCCACTATACTTAGAAACCAGAGGCCTTTTCAAACGAGCTGAAATAACTCTTAAGTAAATGGCAATGCTTCAGTGTTGAATTTAGAGTCTCATGTTTAATGAGAATATGCAGGAAATGGAAATTGCAAAGTTGATCTCCTAGAAAGAAAAATAAAGTGGGCAAAGCTTTCAGTCTGCTCTAATATGACATCAATACCCCAAAATACTGTTTATTCTTTGCATATTACTTTCCAGAAGTATAGCATTCCTTTCAGAAATCATCACTCATCACATTTAGAAAAACATATTCCTTCATAGGATACTGTGCAAAGGAGCTACATATAGTTTGTAGAAAAATAGAATTAAAAGATAATGTACATCTTCCATGAATCTTTTGAAGACCTTTTGTATGTTGTTTCAGTTTTAATTGGCTTAACATGAAAAAGTTTAAGTTGCCTTTACATTAACTACTTGCTGTGGAAAATCATTCTTATCAATCAAATTTTCAATGGAGGGATACAAATGTAAATCAGAAATCTGGGAAGAAAATCATCCTTTGATATGTGTCCTGATTAAATGATGACCATGCTCACTGTTTTCACATATTCAAGGACTTTTATTCTATTTTATGATCTCTGGATTTCTTTTTGGTGCCACGTTCACTAAATTATGAACTGAACAATGAATGAAACTTTTTCTGCAGTGTAAAGCAATGCTTTGTGGATTTTTACCAGAGCTGTGAGTTCTGATGTTTTGCCTTCTCTTGCTGCTGCTAAAAGTAATTCTTCAAACTTTCTTTGTTGAGTCCTTTCTACAGCTGCAAAAGAAATGCACATTAGTCAGTCAGAATCCTATTAGAAAAATCATTACAAAGACAAGTGAAAAATCATTACAAAGAATAAAGTGATCATGGTAAGAAAAATCAACACGTTTTGAATTCTAATTCAAGTAACAAACTATATGGTTCTCACTGCCCTACATTTCAGATTAGAGTTCAAGTTCTTTCAGGTTTGGATGAATTTGTTTATATCCAGAGGTACTTTAGTCACTATGATATCCATCACAAATAATTATGAATTACTTTTGCATATTGAAATACTATTAGATATTTGCCTTGGAAAGGTAGGTAAATGGGTTTCACACCTTTTGGAACTTTAGAAATGTGCCAAATAACATTAAGAAATAGCATTAGGGCAGACATTTTGTTTAGCAGTTAAGGTAACACTTGAGACACCTGTATCACTCAATGGATTAAGTCCCAGGTAAGCTTCCAAGGCTAATGCACACTTGTAAGGCAGCATAGGATGGCTCAAGTGGCTGGGTCCCTGCAACCATGTGGGAGACAGACTGAGTTCCCTGGATCCCAGCTTCAGCTTGATGCAGCCCTGGCTGCCACGGGCATTTGGGTAAGAGACATTTCTTTCTCTCATGCTGACTCTACCTTCAAAATAAACAGTATTGGTAGAAACATGTACAAAACCTTATAAATACATGTAGACTGCTAACAATTTACTTACATATTTCCAGACTATAAAAGTTATTTTAAGATTTATTTATTCATTTGAAAGTCAGAGTTACACAAAGAGAGGAGAGGCAGAGAGAGAGAGAGAGAGAGAGAGGTCTTCCATCCGATGGTTCACTCCTCAATTGGCCACAACGGCCGGAGCTGTGCCAATCCGAAGCCAGGAGCTTCTTCCAGGTCCCCCACGTGGGTGCAGGGGCCCAAGGACTTGGGCTATCTTCTTCTGCCTTCCCAGACCATAGTAGAGCTGTATGGGAAGTAGAGCAGCCAGGACTTGAACCAGCACCCATATAGGATGCTGGCGCTTCAGGCCAGGGCATTAACCCGCTGCACCACAGCGCCGGCCCCTATAAGAGTTATTTTTACTTCTTAAACAAATACTATAGCACTTCCTAAGTGATAAGTGCTACTCAAGGCACATTAAAAATATTAATGCATTAGGGGCCAGTGTTGTGGTATAGCAGCTCAGGCCACAGCCCACAACACCAGCATCCCATGTGGGCGCTGGTTCTAGTCCCGGCTACTCTACTTCCAATCCAGCTCCCTGCTAATGCACCTGATGAAGTAGCAAAATATGACTCAAGTCCTTGGGGCCCTGTACCCATCTGGGAAACCGGGATGAAGCTCCTGGCTTCAGCCTGGCCCAGCCCTGGCAGTTGAGGTCTTTGGGGGAACAAACGAGCAGATGGAAGATCTCTAATTATACCTTTCAAATAAAATAAATATTTTTTAAAAATGTTAACTCAATAAATCTTAACTTGTAAAACAGGTATTATTATCATCTTGACTATGCAGACAATGAAACTGAAGCATCAAGATGTTACAGAACTTAACTAAAACCACACAGCCAGAAAGTAGAGAAGGTAGGATACAAACTTGGGCAGGTTGGTTCCAAAGTACAAGCTCTTATCTCAAGGCTGACTTTCATATGTGTGTGTGTGTGTGTTTGTGTGTATACACATATATGAAAAGCAGTAATTGTTGGCAACCTAGCTTAAGTGCCTAGAACATGTAAATGAAGTATCTTTTCTGTTAGATCTGGTTTCTGTTTTGGATTACAGAAAAGAAGCAATTTCGCCGGCACCGTGGCTCAATAGGCTAATCCTCCGCCTGCTGCGCCAGCACACGGGGTTCTAGTCCCGGTTGGGGCACCAGATTCTGTCCCGGTTGCCCCTCTTCCAGACCAGCTCTCAGCTATGGCCCGGGAGTGCAGCGGAGGATGGCCCAAGTGCTTGGGCCCTGTACCCCATGGAAGAGCAGGAGGAAGCACCTGGCTCCTGGCTTCGGATCAGCGCGATGCGCCGGCCGCAGCGCGCCAGCCACAGAGGCCATTGGAGGGTGAACCAACAGCAAAAGGAAGACCTTTCTCTCTGTCTCTCTCTCTCACTGTCCACTCTGCCTGTCCAAAAAAAAAAAAAAAAATCAACTACCTAGTCTTAGCCTCCTGCATATCCTAAGCATTTATGATAGTGCACAATGCATATTTGGTCAATAAATATGTACTGAATAATTAATGGTTAATAATGCTGGTTGCAGATTTTAAGTAAAGGAAATAAAATATACTCTAATACTTCTTTCTTAGTTATCTAGGTGCATAAAAGAAAATAGGGATTAGGAGTTGAAACTCTTGCCTATGTTCCTGGAACGTGTTCCATACACTTCCTGTCATGTGTTCTTTCAGGGCACTGAGAAAAGACTGCTAGTCCAAGCAGCACAAGCAATCATTCCCGTTTGGGACAGGGGCTCCTACAGTACTGAGAAGGTTCTGTATCTTGATGTAGGTTCTATTTATATAGATGTGTTCCATTTATGAAAATAGTGAGCTGCACATTAATGAAATATGTTTTTCTGCATATATTTTATTTTATTTATTTATTTATATTTTTTTGGACAGGCAGAGTGGACAGTGAGAGAGAGAGAGAGAGAGAGAGAGAAAGGTCTTCCTTTTCCATTGGTTCACCCTCCAATGGCCACTGCAGCTGGTGCGCTGCGGCCGGTGTGCTGCGGCCAGCACGCTGTGACCAGCGCACTACGCTGATCCAAAGCCAGGAGCCAGGTGCTTCTCCTGGTCTCCCATGGGGTGCAGGGCCCAAGCACTTGGGCCATCCTCCACTGCACTCCCGGGCTATAGCAGAGAGCTGGCCTGGAAGAGGAGCAACCGGGACAGAATCTGGCACCCCGACCAGGACTAGAACCCGGTGTGCCGGCGCAGCAGGTGGAGGATTAGCCTATTGAGCCACGGCACCGGGCATATATTTTATATTTCAATGAATTTTTTAAAGCAAGCATAACAGAAAGGCGAGTTGCCTGGTTTGATTGGCTTATGCTGTATAAATGTGAAGAAATATTTCACTGTGTCCCATAAAAATGCAAAAGTGTTACATGCACATGAAAAAAAGGTTTTTAAATTTTTAAAAAGCCAATATTCCAGATCTAATAAAAACATCTATACTATAAAAATTTAATATGACTGTCAAACTCTTCTCAATCAGAATATAGATTAGTAGGGATCTTAAAAGTCATGTAGTGTACCTCTATCCTAATATATATATATATATATATCCTGATATATATATATATTTATATATATATATATGCGCAGTACTATATTAGAAATGAGGAGAGTACCTGGCAAATATACTACATTTGTGAGAAAATTACTACTTTGCAATCACTATAATAATTATTTAGACAAGTATTATCACTGAATACTAAAACAACTAACTATAAAGTTCATTGGTAAATAGGATGCTTACATGGTCTCAACTTTTATCCCCAAAGAGAACTCACTAATTACAAATGGAAAAAGACAGTGGGCTACTGAGTGATCAGTTAGCATCACCAGTAATGAAACAAAGTGCCCCATGTTTCTGGGGTGAAACATCCCATCTCTGTTTATTACCCTATGACATGGACTCTGCTCTACCTGTGATCTTGGTGAGTTGCTCCACACACATTCTTCAGTCTGCCAACAACCCATTTAATGCTCTATCCACAGATGATACTATATCTGGCTAAGGGGATCTCATTACAGCATAATCACTCAATTAAGTCTCAGCTTCTATTTCCCAGGCTAGGACAGTATCAGCTGACAAATCATATTACTAGTCAAGTCAACCAAGGCCTTATTCACATGCAGTTTGGGTTTTTGGAAGGGTCTTACAGCACATCTTTACAATTTCCCTTATTAAATGTCAACTTGTCACACTCATCTAACATTCCAGTCTGTCAGGAAAAATCTCAGTTTTGGTTCTCATCTTGATACATTAAAATGACAGGACAGAATCAAAAATAATACCTCATCCTCTCCATTGGGTCACAATATATTCATTAAATGGTAGGGACCACATCTAACATGTTCTGCATAGCTGGGAATCACGTACTACAGTGGATGTGCCGATTCACTTGTTCACTGGCAATGAGCACATTCATTTTAAATGCAGAAATGAGCAAAGGCACTGACTTAGAGATGTCTGACGAGCAGATATTACTTTGTAATTACAGAACATAGGAGACAATTTTAATTCTGAAGGCTGACTGCAAAGTAATAAAAAGCAAAGTAAGAATCAATACCCTGTAATACCTAATTATATTGCCCTTTTCTGCATTTCAAGTAAAAACAAACTGTGAAGGCCGGCGCCGCGGCTCACTAGGCTAATCCTCCGCCTAGCGGCGCCGGCACACCGGGTTCTAGTCCCGGTCGGGGCGCCGGATTCTGTTCCCAGTTTGCCCCCTTTTTCCAGGCCAGCCCTCTGCTGTGGCCAGGGAGTGGCAGTGGAGGGATGGCCCAGGTGCTTGGGGCCCCTGCCCCCCCATGGGGGACCAGGAAAAGCACCTGGCTCCTGGCTCCTGCCATCGGATCAGCGCGGTGCGCCGGCCGCAGCGCGCCGGCCGCGGCGGCCATTGGAGGGTGAACCAACGGCAAAGGAAGACCTTTCTCTCTGTCTCTCTCTCTCACTGTCCACTCTGCCTGTCAAAAAAAAAAAAAAAAAAATGTGAAATTGCTACTCTAACTCAATACCTTTACCACAAAGTAGAAATTAAAGATCTTCTCTTCTCTGCTTTAGAAAGACTACCAACAAGTAACAGCAGCCATGCATTATCCATTCACAGAATTATCCTATGTTGATCTTTCATCTTTGTAACAATGAAGCTGATCCAGCACGGAATGACTGCCACCTGTCCCGCTGTGATGAAGGCCACAGGAAAACCCTGCTGGCCAGAGCTGACTTTCCCAGTAGCAAATGACTCCCAACAGCTGTGCCTCCTACCGTTTTTCTCGGTGCTGCACGTTTGTGCTTCTCCATCATGCTGCATAAGCTCATCTGCCATAGACCTTCAGGTCTCTAAATTCCTGATTTTTTCAAGTACTCAAAAACAGATTTTTTTAACTTGTAACTTTGTATAAATTATGAGTTTATTTTAAAATGTTTGATTTTTTGATTGATTCACAATATTTGTACATATCACTGAAGTACAATGTGATATTTAAGTGGGGAAACTCCCATTTGGATAATTTTATGTCTACTTAGTGACTTTCCAGTGATTTTATCATTAACACACAGGCTTGTTCTCATCTGTGCTGCTGTTTCAGAAGTCACTTTATTCATTTGCTCAGCTTGGCTACAATTCAAGTAAATGCTGTTCATGTACTTACCTTCAAGCATGTTTCTGATTTCTTTGTCATGAGTGGCTTCCTTTGCTGTCTGTCCACTCCCATTAACAACTGTGGTATCAGCATTATATTCTAAGAGAAGCATTACCAACTCCTAAAAAAGAAAAATATTTTGAGCTATTAAGACTTTATTGCATTACAGTTTTTTCCAAAACAATGATTACTATATTTTCTAAAAAGTACTATGTATGAATCTTTATATCACATCAGTTATGCGTATAATAACAGATTCAACTAATTCTCATAACTGGCAACTGCCTGAACAGTTGCTAATGCTACCAACTTCTATAATTTTTAATCGAATTATTTGGTTGCTTCATCAAAATAATTTGTGTGGTCAAACTAAATATGCAAGTAAACAAAGCCACTATTTAAATTAGGATAAGTAGTACATTCACTTCATAGCATCTCTCCAAGAACTACTGGGAAATAATTTTCCCAACAAACTCTAGATAATTTATAATTAAGTTAATCTCATAGAAGATAGAACATTATTTCCTAAAGTAATGCAGGCTTATGAATATTCATATACCACTATCAAAGAATCAGTATAAAACAATACAAACACAAAAGCCAATATTTCACAATCAAGGATATTCACATTTACTCTAAGGGTTAATTACTTTTTTAGAAATTTCAAACTAATTGGTAACATACAAAGGTCATGAAAAACATTATGGAAGGTTTTTTAAAGTTCATGGAAAATGTCCACTGTGGAAAAAACTATGAATTTAAAAAAAATTTGACAACAAAATAAAGTCATCTTTTAGTTCCATTTTCCCACTAATTTTGAAGTATCCTTGTAATTCTGATATCACTGGGTCTCTTATAAAATGAGACTGCAAAGAAATAGAGAAATAAGGAGACAATGTTAGGTATCTGCTACACGGCTATCCTGAGATGCACAGCAAACAAGGAGGGTCTGTGTTAGAGTCACACTAAGTGCTGTTCTAACCTCTGCGAGGATGGTGCCTATGACACATGAAGTGATATCCTGGGTCACTACATGTTACACATGATTTGGGTCATAATATTTCTCATTCTTTTAAAGGTGACTTTATAGTTTAAAAAAACAATTTTAAGTAAAATCTAAAAAACACAGGGAAAAGTAAATTTTTTATCCTGGTCACTATATGGACCACAATATACATTTTGGTATTATCTCTAAACATTTTCCTATGCATAAGTTTGACTTTTTAAATATAATTTTACTTTTTAACATAGTAGTAATATGTTATATGTTTTATATCTAGGTAAATCATAATTCTTCCAGGATATTTTATATTTATATGTATATAAACATACATATATAATGTTGTCGAACACATTTTTTATAGCTGGATATTATCCTTCAGAATATCCTACCACATTTTAAAAATAGAGAAATGGTTAAGAAATCCTCTAACATCTTACTAAAGTAAATTCTTACAAAACATCTCAGCATTTCCCATCTTTAAAAAAGGTAGCATTTTGGAAGAAGTATTTTCCTATTTTACATAAAAAGTTCAAGTTAGTAAAGAAGGCAGCTTGAGCCACAGGATGCTAAAAACAATTTACAAAACACATCTGATAAGAGCCATGTAACCAGAATATATAAAGAACATTTCAATCCAACAATAAAACAAAAATTCCAATTTTAAAATGGGCAAAGATAACAATGAATAAGGTGAAAAGGAAATGATGTTTGAGGCCTGACCTCAGACTAAATCTGAAAATAAAGCCCTCCAAGTGAGGAATGCAGGCTCTCAGGCATGAGAACAACCACTGGAAAGGGTTATTTGTAGAATCAGAGTCAGTAAGCCAGAGAACACCTCAAGAGACAAGTGGCTGACTTCCTACTTAAGTGACATCAATGACACACACACTCCCAAAGAGATAAGGCACTGCCTACTTTTAAAATCTCAATGGAGAGAAAATGCTTTAAGGTTCTTCAATAGTCTGATGCAGGGATGGGTGTTTGGCACCACACTTAAGATGCTACTTGGGACACCACATCCCATGTCAGAGCCCCTGGGTATAAGTCCTGCCTCAGCTTGTGATTCTTCCTCCCTGCTAAGGCAGCAGGTGATAGCTCAAGTACTTGGATCCCTGCTACCCATGTGGGAGACCTGGATTGACCTTACAGCTCCTGGTTTTGTCCTGGCTCAGCCCAGGCTGTTGTAGACAATTGGGAAGTAACCTAGTAGATAGGAGGACTCAAACCAAAAAATAAAAGTAATAAAAAAGTTTTCTTTTAAACCTAACTATGCTTCTCTGAGCCCAAATTCAGCACCATCCTGCCTTCTTTGGCTCTTGCACAGACACCAAATGAGTTAGCTTCTTTCTCATCACCCCTCAAGCTCTGGAGTTCTTTGTACCGAGTCATCCCTGGTGTTTTATGAAAATCCAACTCCATGTACTTTCCCCTCACGGGGTACCCGTTTCAGCAGTGGAATTACATTGTTCTTTCCTGACCCTTCTAGCATAGTCTGTCCACATTCTTTTTAATTATTCCTATATCCAGATTAACTTTTTAAACAACTTTATTAAGACATAATTCACATAGCCTAATGTCACCATGTGGAAGTGTACAATTCCGTGGGTTTTAGTATATTCAGAGTTGGGCAGTGATCATCACTACCTAATTTTAGAACGTTTTAATCATCCCAAAAGCAGACACCGCATCCAAGAACAATCCCTCCCTATTCCTCCCTTCCCGAGCCCCTGGTGACCGCTCATTCACTTTCAGTCTCTACAGATCTGCCTATGCTGGGCATTTCTATAAAGGAATCCTACACTGTGAGGCCTTTTGTGCCTGGTTTCTTTCACTTAGCAAATTTTCAAGGTTCATTTATGTTGCAGCATGTATCAATTTTTCACTCTCCTGTACTAATGAATAACAGTTCACTGTGAGGGCATACTACATTTTGTTTATCCATTCGTTAACTGATGAATCTCTTGGCTGTTAGAAATAATGCTACTATGAATATTCTCATGCTGATTCTTTAAGGAAGGTGTTCTGCTACAACTATCTCAGAGAAATTCCACATGGGGCCGGCGCTGTGGCGCAGCGGGTTAAAGCCCTGGCCTGCAGTGCCAGCATCCCATATGGGCTCAGGTTCGAGACCCGGCTGCTCTACTTCCCATCCAGCTCTCTGCTATGGCCTGGGAAAGCAGAAGATGGCTCAAGTCCTTGGGCCCCTGCACCCGCATGGGAGACCCGGAAAAAGCTCCTTCCTGGCTCCTGGCTTCAGATGGGTGCAGCTCCGGCCATTGTAACCAACTGGGGAGTGAACCATCAGAGAAAGACCCCTCTCTCTCTCTCTGCCTCTCTCTCTGTGTAACTCTGACTTTCAAATAAGTAAATAAATCTTAAAAAAAAAAAAAAAAAAAACGAAATTCCACATGAAAAAAATGTACTTGCTAAGCAATTTCGTCATTCAGACTTCAGGTTTCAACAGTTACAAAGAAGAAATTTACAAACTATGCCTACTTGAACTCTTACAAGACACAAGGAGAGGTTCAAGAAAGTGACTTCAGTCTCTGGCCTCTCCCACCCCTCCCTTCTACAGCAGTGACCCCACACTAGGAAAATCTGCCAATCTGCCAACCTGCCACACGTTAACCTCCATCTGAGTCAGCAACCTAGAGAACCCAGCCCACAGTGAATGGTAATGTCTAGACTTCTACTTTGGGGGGTCATTTGTTACTAATGAAACATGCCATCTTGGACAGTGCCTTCAACACATAGGCATGAGAAGTGGTGTCCTAGAGAGCCCTAGAGGCATGTATTAACCCAGGAATGTACGTACTTTCGACATGTTAGCTGAGAGATTTCTGAGGCATGGAATGTAAGCATTTGTTTTAAATGTACATGTATCCCCAATTCCACTAAAAAATAAAGGTTGATGCCAAAATACAAATATTTAGTACATTGATTATAGCTGTATTTTTAAATTAATTATAGTTTTGATTGGAAGTATATTGGGTAGCTCATTAGTTCAGTTTAAAAAAAAATATAAGAGAAACCATGGGACACTTAGCAAAGGGCTTAGCCAGAATAGTGCTATAGGATGCCAACCTGTCATGGCAGGGCTGCCCGTGGACACTTGGGCATTGGTCATTCCTTTAAAGTTCAAAGACCAGGACTGGTATATGTATCATTGGCTGAGCCTAGCCATGTTCCGGGGAGCAGATAAGAAAGTTATGCCTGTCTTCAGATTCCCCCAAACAGAAGAGATGTGTGGAGGCTGAGCAGACAGAAACACAGAAGTCCAGTACAAAGTCATAGCTGTATTTTTAATTGATTATAAAAAGTATAAAAACTCCAGCATTCTAGCTGCACTTGAAAAATAAAGGAATAAATGCTAAGATTTTAAAACTTTCATACTATTTTTTACCAATGAACAGTAGGGGTCACTAATGTACCAAGAAAAGCCCAGAGCACTCATTAAACTTGGGGGGGGGGGGGGGGATTGTTTCATATATTCCAGAGGACAAGAACTCAAAGCACCTTATAATGAACCAAATCCCTTTCAATGCAACATTCTATTTATTAAATAACAAAATCTCAGAATAATATTTAAAAGTGTCTTCATGGTAAAAGATCACATCAGAACAAAATAATTCAATTATTTCATGAGTACAATCAGAAATTAAACTGTTCATGCCTGGGCACATAAATTTTATTGCCTTCCTGTGAGATGCAACCATTTAGCTCCAGCTAAATATTATTTTCTGATACAGCAGATAGCACAATAAATATGACAATGTTCAAATCAAGCTGAGATCCAATTTAGTATGCTCTCACATTCCAAGTTCAAGAAAATGACAGAAAGGGCCAAACATGTGAAGACCCACTCACAGACAACGAATGGTTTTACCTCAGTATCACAAAGATGGAGAATTAGACCTGGATTTTGTTTGTGGGAGAAGGAATACCAAAAAAAAAAAAAAAAAAGGCATGTGCTGATTCCTTGCAAGATTAATGTGACCATACCACGATGATTCCAACACAAGGCAGAAGATGAGTCAAAGTGCTATAAAGTCCCAGGAAAACTAGAAAAAGCACGGCTTCCTTCCAAGCGCAAGAAATCAGAAACAAATTCACAGAGATTACAAATGAACTGTGCTTTCAGGAGTGGATGTATTTGGGCCATATGGAAACAGATGGCAATAGAAACTTATCAGGTACACAGCAAAAACTGAGAAGCACAGGCTCTGAAAGGGAAACAGCAAGCAGTCCACACCATCGGCAGCTCATGCCTGAAAACCAGCAGAGTCCAGCATGGCAGTAAACCTACTGCTTACTGTTTCAACCAGCACTTCTTTCTCACCTTTAGTAAGACCCCGTATCTGTTTCACCAGAGTCAACATGAACAAATGGGCATGAACAGTGTGAAATGCACTAATTCTCACATGGTTAGTGCATTTTACTGGGTTGACTTACAATTTATATAAAAATTCATTAAATCTAGTCATTAGAACCATGAAAACTGAAACATTAACAAATTCTTTCTTCTATAACCTGTGAAAAATGCATATATACTTCCAATTGTGTGTTTATACAAAAACTATTTGGGATCACACGACTTAACAGTCAATAAAAAGTGTCAACGAACACACTCTACCACATAGTTAATTTGCAGATCATTAAAAACTTAGGTCAATGAGATGAAGTGACTTATGGCTATAATGGCTCACAGAGCTCAAAGAACTGTTATACTGAAAGGTAAGTATAAAACTGGCAAAACTATTTCACAGTGCTAGACATTCACTACAGGTAAGAAATCAAAAGGTAGGGCCAGTTCAAGTCCCAGCTGCTCCACTTCTGATCCAGCTCTCTGCTATGGCCTGGAGAAAGCAGCAGAAAATGGTCCATGTGCTTGGGCCCCTGCACCCACATGGAAGACCTGGAAGAAGCTCCTGGCTTCAGGTTGGCCCAGCTCTGGCTGTTGCAGCCATTAGGGGAGTGAACCAACAGATGGACAATCTCTCTCTTTTCCACTGCCTCTGCCTCTCTATAACTCTGTCTTTCAAGTAAATAAATCTTGAGAGAGGAAGGAAGAGAGGGAGGGAGGGAGGGAGTAAAGAAAGAAATCAAGAGGTAGTTATTCAACAGGCATCGCTAGAACTTCAGATTAGAATATCAGGAGACTTGAGCCTTCCAGCCACAGGCTCTTACCTTTCTCCTACTTTCCCGAAAATTTACCAGGGCAAGCTTGTCAGAGACAACCAGTAGCTTTGCTGCCAGAGCAAACTGACCTGATTTAGAGTAACAGGGAAAAACCCATGCCAAAAGGCAAGATCAGTAACAGCAGCAAAATCTGTAGGAAACAAATGGAAAACCTACAAGTCTGGCACCATGAAGTGACTTTTCCCATAAGAGGACATAGTTTTTATTGATGCTGTGCCAACCTGTCACAAATGTGGCAACTTAAAACAGATTTATTCTCAGATATCTGAAACAGAACTCACTGGGTAAGGTCAAAATGTATAGAGCTGTGTTTTTTTTGTTTTTGTGCCCCGCCCCACCTCCCCCCCAGAAATCCTAGAGGAGAATTTTCTTCCATGCTTCTCCAGCTTCTAAAGGTTGATCACATTCCTCGGCTCAGGGTCCCTTCTTCTAGTTCCTAAGCCAACAACACTTTCATGGGCATATCTCCTTTAACTCCCTTTTAGATTTCTAAGGACCTTGTGATTACCTTTGGCCCACTCAGATTAATCCAAAATAATTTTCCTATTTTAAAGTCAGCTGATTAACAACCTCAATTACACTTGCAATTTTCATTTCTCCTTGCCAGGTAACCAAACATACTCACAAGTGTCCCAGAGGAAGCCATGGACATTCTTGGAGGACCAACATTCTGCCTAACACATAGGGCAAATGGCAAAACCATTCAACACTGAGACAGGAGGAACCTGGAAATGAAAGAACCAAAATAGTAGATTCCCTTCCTACTTACTAAGCTGCTGAAAAACTTCACACACATGCAGGGAAAATGAGAGAGGGCCATGCAGAAAGAGCAGGGCCAGAAATGAGAAACATCTTAACACTGAAAGTGCTCTCTAACCTAAAAACAAATCCACAAGCAGTGAGTAGAAGCCCTACAGGATTGGGTATTTGAGCCTGTCACTATCCAAACACTGGCTGACCAGTAAGCTATGCCCACAAAGGGGTAAACAAATTTAAAAAGAAAAAACTAACCAGTAACATCAGCTGACCAGACTATTCCAGATTCCATACATTAAAGGCCAGACAAGTTAATAAATTTAACTAAAATAGCACAAGATCTGAATGTTGAAAACTTTAAAACACCATTATTTAAAATAAACATTCAAATAAACAAGGAGACAGGGATTTATTATGTTCAGGGATTAGAAAACTTAATATTGTCAAGATGGCAATTCAAGACAACATAATTTCCAGTAAAATTCTAAAGTCTTTCTATAGAAATTGACAAGATTATCCTAAAATTTATATGGAAATATAAAGAACTAAGAATAGCCAAAATAGTTTTGAAAAGATCAGTTGGAGAGCAAACAGAACTCGATATCAAAACTTAATTATAGGGGCCGGCACTGTAGCGCAGTGGGTTGACGCCCTGGCCTGAAGCGCCAGCATCATGTGTGGTCGCCGGATCTAGTCCCGGCTACTCCTCTTCCAATCCAGCTCTCTGCTGTGGCCTGGGAAAGCAGAAGATGGTCCAAGTCCTTGGGCCCCTGCACCCACGTGGGAGACCCGGAGGAAGCTCCTGGCTCCTGGCTTCAGATCGCCACAGCTCTGGCCATTGTGGCCATCTGGGGAGTGAACCAGCAGATGGAAGACTTCTCTGTCTCTACTTCTCTCTATAACTCTTTCAAAAAATAAAATAAATCTTAAAAAAAAAACCTTAATTATAAAACTACTGTAATAAAGTGGTGTAAGGATAGAGACGCAGATCAATGGGAAAAAAAAAAAAAAACAGAAAATCTAGAAATAAACCCTTACATTTATCATTAACTGATTTTCAACAAAGATGCCTAGGCAATGCAATGCCAAAAGATGTCTTTCCAATAAATGGTGCCTGGATAACAAAACGTGGTGGATCTGTTCACTGGAATATCATTCTTTCATAAAGAGGAACAACCAACCAAACATGCCATGGCACATATGAACCTCTACAGCATTATGCTGAACCAAAGAAGCCAGACACAGAAGTCTGTATGATGTCATTTCTAAGAAATGATGCAGAAGGGCAAATGTCTAGAGACAGAAGACAAACCAGTGGTAGTCTGAGGCTGGAGATGGGGGCAGGGAATGAATGTAAACAGGCAGCAGGAAACTTTCTGAGATGAAAGGAATGTTCTCAAACTAGATTGTAATGACGGTTTCACCACTTTGTGAAAGTATTAAGAGTAAGAAGAGCTTCACATAATGTGAATTGCACCTCACTGAAGCCATCTTTAAAAAGGAATAGAAAGTCAGGAGTGCCCCACCGCTGAGGTCCACAAGCACAGATGAGTGACCTCCTACCAGGTGTATGAGAAAGCGGGCGGCTCACGACACTGGTGCTTGACCTCTCAGTCCAGCTCCAAGATGTTGTGCCCTTTTGACCCAAAGTGCTGGCATATACAAGTTTGTAATGGCTTATTCCAGTTGCCAGACAGATGGTTATAACACAGAAAACATTCACAACTGCTCTTCCAAATATTTCATTTGCAAACACTGAACAACAATGTTTTCACCTTTCGTCCCGTAAAGGCAGCTCGATGAAGTGGCGTGTCTCCCATGTCGTTCAACACATTCACTTCTGCACCAGCCTGGCAAACATGAAAATGTTAAGTATCTTCCACATGCCAAGAAATACACAAAGGTGAAAATAATTCCCTAAAAAAATGTTAAATATTTCAGAAATTAAAATGATTAACATTGCTTGGTTGTCAATGAAAATAAATCAACTCAAAGTGAAAGTAAATATTTGGTTTCCTGAAAAGTAAAAATGTACCTGATAGGATAAAAAGCTTCTTTAAAAAATCTATACACTTGTGCTTCTTCTTTAGATGCAATCCCATGGGAGGAAAAACAACAAAATGTGTCTGAATGAAATAATACCCTGTTTCCTTCTCAAGCAATTTAACATGCTTTCGGGTTTAATAATAATAATAAAAAAAAGCCATCACACATAAATATATAGATGAGCTGTAAAATAAGCCCAGTTTCAGAAATATCAGAGGTAGGTGTTTAGCAAAAGCACTTAGTCACTGCTTGACATGCACATATCCCGTTATCAGAATGCCTGGTCTGAATCAGTTACTCTGCTTCTAATTCAGCTTCCTGCTAATGTGCATCCTGGGAGGCAGAAGATGATGGCTCAAGTATGTGGTTCCCTGCCATTCACACAGGAGACCCAAATAATATTCTAAGTTCCTGACTTCAGCCTGACCCAACCCTCACTATTATAGGTATCTTGGAAGTGAACTAGTGATGGAAGATTTCTTCTGTCTCTGTTTCTCCCTTTGCCTTCCAAATAAAAGGAAAATAAATAAAAAGAAACATCAATATGAAAATTTATTCATCAGAATTGAGAAATATAAGCTCAATTCTTATTAAGTACAATGTGTACTATGAAATTCTGACATTTTTCAATTTATAAATGCATTTTTTCAACTATCATGCTCAAAAACTGAAAATAGTATCTTCATTAATATGCACATTTTTGCAATTTTAAAGTCAATAATATAAAATTCATGATTAAAGATTGACAATTTAATTAAACTAGAACAATTAAGTATCTTTAGTAATGAGCTTTTTTTGTTTTAATGATTTATTTATTTTACTTGAAAGGCAGAGTTAAAGAGAGAGGGGAGAGAAAGAGAGAAGATAAACACAGAGTGCCCAACCTTCCATCTGCTGGTTAACTTCCCAATGGCCAGGGCTGTGCCAGGCTGAAGCCAGGAGTTTCTTCCGGGTCTCCCACTTGGATGGTAGGGGGCCAAGCACTTGGGCCATCTTCCACTGCTTTCCCAATTGCACTATCAGGGAGCTGGATCAGAAGTAGAGCAGCCAGGATTCAAACTGGCACCTATATGTGGTGCCAGGGTTGTAGGAAGCAGCTTAACCCACTACACTACAACACTGGACCCCAATACATTGCTTTAAATAAACCATTATGACTCAGTGATTTTTCTTAGGCGTGCATTTTACAATGTCCACACTAATGGTATTTATTAGAGTAGTTAAAAAAAAAAGTTATAAAAAGACCTTCAACAAGTCCTGGACCACTTGTCTATGTCCAAAATAGCATGCCAGATGAAGAGGTGTCCAGCCCAAATTAGACTTACTTCTTCCTAAAAATGGAAAAAGATAAGGTAGTTTTAGATAATATTTAGGTAATTTTACAATAAGTTGAATTTCTCCTTAACAGACAACTTTCATTCCTGGGCGATGGCTCTCCTTCCCTCACACCACACTGCTGAACAAAGAGACATGACAACACGAGATGTGTAAGGAGCATAATGGGTCAGAACCCACAAGACCCAGCTCTGCTGCCACCTTTCTAACTCAATGTCCTCATCCCTGGAGGATAGAGGGGGACATGATGGGGCTCTAGTAGGCTGTCAGCCCTAAGGTTCTAAGCCTGTGACCACCTTGCCATTAGCTAGCAAAAACGTGGTTCTTTTGGTATAATGGCTCATGAGAACAACTCTCTGAAAAGCTGCACCACAAAAGAAATCACTAAAGAGTATTCTCTGAAGTGTTTGGTAATTTGTTAGCTCTGCATCTAATGACTGAATAGAGTCTTTGGCGTCAGATAAAATCCCAGCTATTAAGGATATTGGGTTACCAGAGTGATAGAGAGTCAACTAGATAACCAGAATCAAAGTTAAAAGTTAAAAGCAATGAAATCAGATCCTAGCAGTAGGCATGAGGAGAGGTATAAAACAACTGAGTGCTACAAAAACTAACCTACATCATTTAATTCAATTAAAAAAGAGGGCATCATAGCTTTAGAGCCGAGACAGCTCCAAAAGCTTGCCAAGAAACAAATCAGGTTGGAGAGAACACAGCCTACTCCAATTCCCAAAGCCCACACCCTGGAGGTCCATCACAGCCTAGGAGCATGCTGTCCCAGGCACTGTGAGGGAGAGGCTCTTGGCTTAGTAGCTCAAGTGGACAGTAGTACTTTATCCAACCCACCTGTCACCCTCAGCTCCTGGATTTCAGGTTCCAAACCAACAAAAATCCCAGCCCAGCTACCAGTTTGTACATACCCACAACAGGCCTCTTACCGCCCCTGTTCTCACCACAAGTGACTGTGGCTGCCACAGTTCCTGCATGTCATCTACCCAAACTCCTACATCTGCTTCCCCTTAAGTGAGTGCTGTCTAGAACCTCTAATTACATAGTAAGAGCCTCTGTCTGTTTCACTGAACATATCTTTTGTCTTCTGTTCTTTAATGAAACCTAATTCTTTAGATAATGGACCTTCTTGGGGAACAGCATTGTGGCATAGCAGGCAAAGCTACTGCCTGTGACTCTGGCATCCCATATGGGCACCAGCTCATGTCCTGGTGTTCCACCTCCCATCTACCTCCCTGCTAATGCCCTGGGAAAAGCAGCTAGAGATGGCCCAAGTGTGTGGATCACTGCTATCCATTTGGGACACCAAGATGAAGTTACTGGCTTTGACCTGGCCCAGCCCTAGCTGTTGCAGCCATTTGGAGAGTGAACCAGTGGATGGAAGACCTCTCTGTCTCTCCCTCTCTCTGTGTTCTCCCTCTCTCTGTGTAACTCTGCTTTTCAAATTAAAAAATGAATCTTAAGATAATGGTCCCTCCTTGTTCCTCAGTTGTAGACCCTATTGTCACATCCCCACTGTACCTCACTGAGCAGAGGTATGTGAATCTGACAAAACCTGCTGCTGTCCTTGGTCAATGACATCTCCACTCACATCCTAACCCCTCCTTTGAGCCATAGCTCCTTCCAATGCCTGCTCCGCTGCCATCTGCCAGCCTCCCAATGACTCATCCCTCGTCAAATAACTTTGGGCAACACAGACTCTCCCCATAGCAAATCTTGCCACTATTCCAGGGAGATTGACTACTTAATCAATTATCTGCTATCTCAGTTTCTCAGCCTCCCTGCTTTTTCACCAACTGTGCCCATGTTCAATATCAGAGCAAGAGTGCCATCAGTATAACAACAGCTTTGAACGGGCGACTTGAATTAAAAAGCCATTGTGATTGTAATAAATCCACAGGTCACAAATCAGTGTCTTCTATTTCTATTTTTTTTTTTGAAGATTTACTTATTTATTTGAAAGTCAGAGTTACACACAGAGAGGAGAGGCAGAGAGGCAGAGGTTGGAGGGGAAGAGGTCTTCCATTCGATGATTCACACTTCAATCGGCTGCAACGGCCGGAGCTGCGCCAATCTGAAGCCAGGAGCCAGGAGCCTCCTCTGGGTCTCCCACATGGGTGCAGGGGTCCAAGGACCTGGGCCATCTTCTATTGCTTTCCCAGGCCATGCAGAGAGCTGGATTGGAAGTGAAGCAGCTGGGTCTCACACCAGTGCCCATATGGGATGCTGGTGCTTCAGGACAGGGTGTTAACCCACTGCACCACAGCGCCAGCCCCACACCCTATCTCTCATACCACACAGCTTCACCTTTGCCACTTTCTCCTTTTGAGTCCCACTCCAAGTGAGTTCTATTGATTCTAGCACCAAATACTAATTACATCTACTTTTCCCCACTCCCATTGTTTCCAAAACCATTTAACCCATAATAGTCGAACTTATACCAACTTCTGAACTGTTTCATAACATTTCATGTTTCGAAATGGAAATCTGGATCAAGAAATTAAAATTCTCAAAATCCTAAATTACTTTTATAGTACTTCAAACACCTTTTACTCTACTTTATCCTTTCAGGTATCTTTTAAAAAAAAAAAAAGATTTATTGAGTAATTTGAAAGAGTTATACAGAGAGAGAAGAGGCAGAGAAAGAGAGAGGGAGGGAGGTCTTCCATCCGACGGGTCACTCCTCAATTGACTGCAACGGCCAGAGCTGCGCCAATCCGAAGCCAGGAGCCTCCTTTGAGTCTCCCATGTGGGTGCAGGGGCCCAAGGACCTGGGCCATCTTCCACTGCTTTCCCAGGCCATAGCAGAGAGCTGGATTGGAAATGGAGCAGCTGTGACTCAGCCCATATGGGAGCCAACGCCGCTGGCCCCAGCCCAGGTATTTTTTATAAAAAACTGTGTTCCGTGACTCTGGCTCCTGACTCCAGCTCCGTGCTCACCACACCAACAAGGAGATGCAGACACCAGAAGGCAGCAGTGATGGTTCAAGTGACTGAGTCTCGGCAACCCACAGGGAGACCTGGACTACTATGTTCCTGGCTCACAGCTTCATCCCAGCCAGTATAAGCTTTTGTGGGAGAGAACCAGCTAATGAGAGCTTGCTGTCTGTGTCACTCACTCTCTAATAAGTAAATTGTGTCCAATGAATAAGAAATGTTAAGTTATAAAAAGAACAGTGCCCTAAACTGATGAAATCTTTACTTAATATATACTGAATCGATCTTCTGTATATAAAGATAATTGAAAATGAATCTTGATGTGAATGGAATGGGAGAGGGTGCGGGAGATGGGAGGGGTGCAAGTGGGAGGGAAATTATTGGGGGGTAGCCAATGTAATCCATAAACTGTACTTTGGAAATTTATATTTACTAAATAAAAAAGAACAGTGCCCTAAATTAGAATATTAAAACAATGAAGCCCTCTCTCTGCAACCCCTACCCCACCACAGTTGCGGCACAGCAGGTTAAGCCACGGCTTGTGATGCCAGCAACCCATACTAGAGTGCTGGTTCAAGTCCTGGCTGCTTCACTTCTGATGCAGTTCCCTGCTAATGAACCTGGGAAAGCAGCAGATGATGGTCCCAAGTACTAGGGCCCCTGCCATCTGTACAGAATACATGGATGAAGTTCCTCGCTCCTGGCTTCAGCCTGGCACAGGCCTGGCAGTTGTGGCCATTTGGGGGAATGAACCAGTGAATCAAAGATTTCTGTCTCTCCCTGTCATGCTGCCTTTCAAATAAATAAATCTATAAAAAGAAAATAAAAGAAAACAAATACTGGGAAACACTAACAGACATTACTGAGTAATATCTGAATAACTATGGACTTCCCAGTAAAGTGATAATATTCCATAGAATGAGCTATTGAGACTACCAACATAAACACTTACTCTGCTGAAACTCATTATTTCTTGGAACGTCACTCATAAGTATGTTATGCTTACATATTTATTTTATTTGCAACAATGACTCACGTGAGCAAGATAGGACACTAAGCCCATACTTAGAACACAGCAACTGTTGCAAGAACACTTAACAGTACTTGCCATAGTCTCAGGATTTTGAAAGAAAAAAAAAAAAAGAAAGCCCAGAAATACCAGGAAGGAATCCGCACACATGGAAACAGTGCTCACATCCAGTCTTGCCCACCCCTCACTCTTCCCTTCGGTCAGATACCACATGATGTCTTTCCTCTGCATAAACCCTTCAAATCACCCGTAAGACAAAATCTGACAAGTTATGAGGTGAAATTTTGAAAATGCATTAACATGCTTCTCACTTTTACATTTACAAGTAGATGACTTTGCACTAATTAGCTTGAGGCAACTGCGTGGGGGGCATGTAGACAGAAAAGAGTCATGGAGGATTTTCAAATATTTTTGGCATTCAAAATAGACCCCTGAGGTCAACATTAGGAGCTTGTGTCTACGGAAGGATGGGGAGAGACTTTTAAATCCTTTTAACAAACTCAGACTTTACTTGTTTCCAGGCAACTTAGATCAGTTTTTTCCCATACTGCTATATAATACTCCTTCCCCACTGAGGGGGAAGTCATGAAGTTTGCTGGTTTGCTGCTCTAGGATAGGAAGAAAAGGTGACAAAATATGCCTACCTTAAGCCTGCAATTCCTGGAGTAGAGGGATTGTGGGAGAGAAAAAGACAGAAGATCAGCATATGGCTCCTAATCTTAAGCCCAGAAAGTGAGATAAATTGAAAGGACACCGAGAACAGGCAAGATACATCTGGGATACTAGGAAAAAATCCCCTAGCCAGCCTCCCACCCTAGAGCCCACCTGCAAAGTGGATCCTTCACAATCAAGTCCATAGTGCAGTCAGCGGGAAGGATAACTTGGCTAACCAGAGCTGTTCCAGGCTCCCATGTGTCACTGAGTTCCCACACACTACCCTCCCAAGACAGCAACAGGAGTGTGGCCAAATGGAGCTTGCAAGTCTAGGCCAAGGGCCAGAGGCACCTGTGTCACAGAGGCTCAGGGTGACACCAAGCCAAAAAGAGCTAAGATGAGTCTTTTGAGATAGCCAAGGAACAACATCTGTATCACAGGACAAACCAAGAGAAAAACCAGGGTCAACTTTGAACCTTAGTTTTGCCTTAGCTGCAAATGCTTTTGAAACGCTAAGAAACCAAGGATCAATGACCAAATGAAGGCTTCTTCACAGACTAGAGGTCACCTTTGCCTGCACTGAGCACACCGTAAAGCTCACTTCAAACCTGAATGTCAATTTAGAGGAGATGGGGCCGGCGCCGCGGCTCACTAGGCTAATCCTCTGCCTTGCGGCGCCGGCACACCAGGTTCTAATCCCGGTTGGGGCGCCGGATTCTCTCCCGGTTGCCCCTCTTCCAGGCCAGCTCTCTGCTGTGGCTCGGGAGTGCAGAGGAGGATGGCCCAAGTGCTTGGGCCCTGCACCCCATGGGAGACCAGGATAAGTACCTGGCTCCTGCCATCGGATCAGCGTGGTGCGCCGGCCACAGCGAGTACTGAGGTCCCTGCCACACACATGGAAGATCTGAATAGAGTTCCAGGTTCCTGGCTTCTTGTAGCCATTTGGGGAGCAAATCAGTGAATGGAAGACCTCTGTCTCTCCCTCTCTTCTGAAACTCTGCCTTTCATATAAATAATTAATCTTTAAGGAAAAAAACCCATCATTTAAAAATGTTATATACATATATATTTTAAAAGCTCACCTTTGCAATTAATGTCAGCAACTGCTGCATTCCTCTCCATGCTTTGCAATAGTTGTCTTACTTCTTCAGTGTTGCCATTTCTGGCATGATGAAGAAGCTGTTGTTCCACTTCGGTATTCATTTCTGGATTAAAAAAATAATAGCATAATTAGCTTTTAGATATTACCTAGATATTAGATAGAAAGAAGAAAACCATCTTCACTTTACAGCTAACTAGATAAACACATGAACTAACTAAAAGTAAGAGGGCCAGAACTCAACCCTAAGACTCCTTAACCTTATTACCAAGGAAGTACTCTAGATCAAGTTTCTTAACTTCTCAAAGCCTAGTTTCCTCATTTACAAAATACAACTAACCTCATGAGCTGCTATAAGACTCTATATGTGGCTGGTGCTGTGGCTCAATAGGTTAATCCTCCACCTAGCAGCGTTGGCAACCGGTTCTTAGTACAGTCGGCCGAACTTCTTCCAGTGCCCTCTGCAAGGCAGCTTTCTGCTGTGGTCAGGGAGTGCAGTTGAGGATGGCCAAAGTGCTTGGGCCCTGCACCCCATGGGAGACCAGGATAAGTACCATGCTCCTGCCATCGGATCAGCACGGTGCGCCGGCCACAGCGCGCCAGCCATGTTGGCCATTGGAGGGTGAACCAAGAGCAAAAGGAAGACCTTTCTCTCTGTCTCTCTCTCTATCTACTCTGCCTGTCAAAAAAAAAAAAAAAAAAAGATTCTGTATGTGAAACACTCACCAAATATGTAAATATTTATCATTGTGTTAATAACTAGACAAGTTAAAACATAGCATTCTCATAGAAATACTTTAAGACTAAAATGTGCATTAATACATTAATACCAAAAAACCTACTCTGAATAGAAAAAATAAATAAATTCTAACTAAGGACTCTAGAGTGACTATACTTAAATAGTTTTCTCTCATATTATCTTACCAAGCCCAAATTAAATAGATAAAGTTTCAAATTCAGGGGCCGGCACCATGGTGTAGCAGGTTAAGCCACTGTCTGCAGTGCCCACAGCTCATATGGGTTTGGGTCTCAGCTGCTCTGCTTCTGATCCAGCTCCCTGCTAATGTTCCCAGGAAAATAGTGGAGGAAGGCCCAAACCTTGGGCCACTGCTCCCACATGGGAGATCTGAAAGAAGCTCCTGGCTTCAGACCAACCCAGTCCTTGTTGCCATTTGGGGAGTGAACCAGCAGATGGAAAATCTCTAACTCTTTCAAATAAATAAATCTTTTTTAAAAAAAGGTGCAAATTTAAAGTATTTACATCAAAATGGGCAAATATTTTTTATAGTTTATTTATTTGAAAGGCAGAAACAGGGAGGCAGGGAGGCAGGGAGGCAGGGAGGGAGAGAGGGATAGAGGGGGAGAGGGGGACAGGGGGACAGGGGGACAGGGGGACAGGGGCACAGAGGGAGGTTTCCATCCACTGATTCACTTCCTAAAGGCCACAATGGCTGGAGCTGGGCCAATCCAAAGCCAGGAGCTTCTTCCACATCTCCCATAGGGGTACAGAGGCCCAAACACTTGGGCCAACCTCTACTGCTTTCCCAGGCCATAGCAGAGAGCTAGTTTGAAAGTGGAGCAGCGGGGGCTGGCGTTGCAGCTTACTAGGCTAATCCTCTGCCTTGTGGCGCCGGCACACCAGGTTCTAGTCCCGGTTGGGGCGCCGGATTCTCTCCCGGTTGCCCCTCTTCCAGGCCAGCTCTCTGCTGTGGCCCGGGAGTGCAGAGGAGGATGGCCCAAGTCCTTGGGCCCTGCACCCCATGCGAGACCAGGAGAAGCACTTGGCTCCTGCCATAAGATCAGCGTGGTGCGCCGGCCACAGCGCGCCAGCCGCAGCGCACCGGCTGTGGTGGCCATTGGAGGGTGAACCAACAGCAAAGGAAGACCTTTCTCTCTGTCTCTCTCACTGTCCACTCTGCCTGTAAAAAAAAAAAATGTGAAACAACTGGGAAAAGACAAATTATTCAGATTAAAAAGTTAAAAAATGAAAACAAATATCCTTGGAGATTAGAAGACATTATATCCTGTAAAACAACCTAAATAAGATGCTACGCTAAAAATACAAAATTCTGAAAATTAAAAATGGTAAAAAAAAAAAAACTCAACAGGCAATGGGCCTTTAGCCAAGTTGTTAAGACACCCACATCCCAGCTTGCGCCATGGCTCACTTGATTAATCCTCCACCTGCGGTGCTGGCATCCCATATGGGAGCCGGGTTCTAGTCCCAGCTGCTCCTCTTCCAGTCCAGCTCTCTGCTGTGGCCCAGGAAAGCAGTGGAGGATGGCCCAAGTGCTTGGGCCCCTGCATCTGTATGAGAGACCAGGAGGAAGCCCCTGGCTCCTGGCTTCAGATCAGCACAGTGTTGGCCATAGCAGCCATTTGGGGAGTGAACCAATGGTACGAAGACCTTTCTCTCTGTCTCTCTCTCACTGTCTATAACTACCTGTCAAAAAAAAAAAAAAAAAAAAAAAACACTGCAACAGCAACAGTCCAAAGGTTCTCAACACATAAATAAGACAGAAATGCTAATTACCTTAATTTGATCATTATACATTGTATACATGCATTTAATTATCAATTACCATACTGTATCCCATAAATGTGTGCAAATATTATATGTCAATTTGAACAGAAAATATAAGAAATCGAGAGACTGTCCAGGCGATATGCAGGCAACAGATGAGTCCACAGCTCAGTTGGTGGTGGATGTATATTGTTTCCCCCTCTAACTCTGCCTTTCAGATAAAAACAAATGTTAAAAAAAAAGAGGGCTGGCGCCACGGCTCACTAGGCTAATCCTCCACCTAGCGGCGCCGGCAAACCGGGTTCTAATCCCGGTCGGGGCACTGGATTCTCTCCCGGTTGCCCCTCTTCCAGGCCAGCTCTCTGCTGTGGCCCGGGAGTGCAGAGGAGGATGGTCCAAGTGCTTGGGCCCTGCACCCCATGGGAGACCAGGAGAAGTACCTGGCTCCTGCCATCGGATCAGTGCGGTACACCGGCCGCAGCGCGCCAGCCGTGGCAGCCATTGGAGGGTGAACCAACGGCAAAAAGGAGAACCTTTTTTTTTGTTTTTCTCACTGTCCACTTTCCCTGTCAAAAAAAAAAAAAAAAAAAAAAAAAAAAAAAAAAGAGGACTAGTCCAGGGGATCAAACATCCAAACAACATAAATTATAGAACAAGAAAATACAGAAATCAGACAGGAAACACAAATAATTCAATAAAACTTTATAAAATTGAAATGTCTAATGAGAACCCAACAACTGGGGAAATTTTCCAGTTGCAGATAAGAGATCCCACCAAAACACATCATGAAATTTTAGAACTCTGGAGACAAAGAAGATTCTATAAGCTTCCAGAAAAAAAAAAAAAAAAAAGAACAAATGTTAAACAAGTAAGCAGGAATCAGAAAGATTGATTTCTCATTGACAATTGTGGTAGCTAAAACATAATAAGGCAGCCGGCGCCATGGCTCACTTGGCTAATCCTCCGCCTACGGCGCCAGCACCCTGGGTTCTAGTCCCAGTCGAGGCGCTGGATTCTGTCCCAGTTGCTCCTCTTCCAGTCCATCTCTCTGCTGTGGCCCAGGAAGGCAGTGGACGATGGCCCAAGTGCTTGGGCCCTGCACCCGCATGGGAGACCAGGAAGAAGCACCTGTCTCCTGGCTTCAGATTGGTGCAGCGCGCCGGCTGTAGCAGCCATTTGGGGGGTGAACCAACGGCAAAAGGAAGACCTTTCTCTCTGTCTCTCTCTCACTATCTAACTCTGCCTGTCAAAACACACACACACACACACACACACACACACAATAACGCAGTAATCGAAAGTTCTGGTGAAAAATAATTTTCAGCCCAAAGTTCAATAACTAGCCAACCAAAAGCAGGGGGTAAAGACATTTTTAGATATGTCAGAATGAAAATTTACTTCCCAAACATTATTTCACAGAAAAACACCAAAGGATATGGCTGCAAATTCAGAGACCAAGAAAGGGGAAGATACGGGAAACAGGAAAGAAAGGGAATCCCCAGAGCAAAGGGAACTACCTGAAGTGCAGCTCTGTGCCTGGTCTGTATCTTGTCCTACGCGGTGTGTCTGGCCTACACATAGTCAGGTTTCTGCCCTCTGTGCTTTTGCTTCCTCATGAGCTAAAAGTGCTCATTTCAGCCCAAACAAGTATCCTGCTCCTACCTACACTGCAGCACGAGAGGTTGTAAGCCTCTGTGAGCTAGAAGCACAAAATAAAGACCAGCCTAGTCTCCTGACAGATGCCTGCCACTGAGCAGCCCAGACCTGGGCCCTGTCACAGCCTCTTCAAACAACTACACTGGGTCAAGCCTGTTCCCAGTGCTAACTCAAGGCCTTGCTCACCGACTTCCCCCTGGAAAGGGCTCTCAAAAGTCTGAGGGCAGCCAAACCCAGACTCTCAGCCACAGACTCCTTTTCAGAGGAAATTTTTCTAGAAGACTTCATCTAACTGTGACCACAATGCCCTTTCCCCACAGGGCTTGATGAGCTTTTCTATGAATCACCTTTCCATTCATTCACATGTACACTTACTAAAGTAATAAAACATTTGACTAATCATTTAAACAATCTGACAATACTTATAATCATTGTATTAATCATGAAGCAAAAAAAAAAAAAAATCAAAGGTCCATAATGAAAGTTTGTTCACATAACTGGATCCTATAAAACCATTACCAATACCACAGAAGAATTTCTCAAAGTATGAAATTACAATACAGAGTTAGCTCGGATGGTTTCCATATAATATAATCTCTATATAATCACAAATAAAGAGTGGAAAAAATCATCAGATGATAACAGTGGTTACTCCTCATAATAAAATTATGAATGGGTTTAATGTGTGATGATAGGGGCCAGTGTTGTGGTGCAGTGGGTTAAGCTGCTGCTTGCAACACCAGCATCCCATATTGGAATGCTGGTTCGAGTCCTACCTGCTTGGCTTCTCATCCAGCTCACAGATAATGTGCCTGGGAAGGCAGCAGATAATGACCCAAGAACTTAGGCCCCTGCCACCCACATGCAAATCTGGTTGGGGTTCCAAGATCCCAGGTGCAGCCTGATTTAACCCACCATTGTGGCCA